ATGTTAGCACTGAATTGGTTACATTCAAGATTCTCCGGAAGATTTGATTGCATACTTGTATCATTAACGGATTGAGAATAATAAACAAAATCGGCACTATTTTCGCCGTCATGTTCATCCGGGTGTAGGAAAATTTCGTCGAAATACTCAATATCTTGATACTGCATACTTGATACACTCAAAAAATTCCAAACGTCATTATCATGTTTCTCACACTTAATTTTGCGCTTATTGTGAAACACATCCATTTCATGTGTGAATCTTATGCTATGAATCATGCCTGAACACTATGGATTTGAATTGTGACACACATGGATTCTATGTGCCTCATATGGTTATATCAATAGCTTTGCACTTCATAGTTCAATATTCTACTTTAACGACTCTAAAAATGAATCGACAAATATATATACAAAACTGCCAGAGGCCAGAGCTATCACATATCTTTTTAATGGGTCTGATTTGGGATTCGATCATGGACTGTTGGGGTGTGCTGCTGCCGGAGTCTTCGTTCTATCTCACTGTGCCACGGTTGTTCTCATATATGAGGCGGGTTGATAGGATAAAGTCACAACTCTTGTTTTCGATGTTTACCTTTTTGAGCAAGCAATTCACATCGAATTGAAATGCAAAACACTTTAAATCCATCTGTTTTGAACAGTAGCGTGATTCAATGTGCAATACACTTGAATAGATAGTGAAAGATTTTCAACATTTCAAAGTTTGAAACACTATAAATTAACGTGTATAACACATTGAACCAAGGTGAAATACACTTAAAGTAAATGTGATTCTGCATTTAAAAAATCAAATGTTTAAACACTTCGATCAAACGTGTGAAATTTTTTGAGTGTACTGTCGAGGTTTGTGGGCTTGGATGTATGTTCTCAATATCATCAACATCATCCTCCATACTACGATCAGTGCGTTTTAGATGAGAAATTTGCTGGACATCTGAGTAGCAGGGAATCGCCCTGGAAACTTTTCTGATTTTTCCTCCACAGTCCAAATACACATGCTCCTCGTCAAAGTGCAACTAAAATCGGTTTGAAAAGCTTTGTTGTTAAGTCTTCACTTGTGAAAAATAAGTTTACTTACGCTACAAAGTCGGTTACTTCCGACTATTCGAAAATCTACCGGCAGTCCGCAAAACAGTTTTCATTGTTTCAGAATGCCATTCTTCGCGGGGAATCGGAAAAAAACCCAACATTGTTTATGCCATAGTGGGAATTATTCATGCAACCTTTATATAAACACTTAATTTTCAAACCAAAATTAAAGCTTGTTTACATAACAGCTTGCTGCACTGAATACGAGTCATTCTAAGTGTGAGCATTTGCAAGTGTTGCTAGACAATAGGAAAAATAATGTAAAAATAACCGTGCTGCCATTTTTACGGAATTTCTATCCGCCGGTCTGTGTTTACTAAACCGTCTGTACTATCAACTTTTGTAAATAACTTGCTAGGTGGTTGGAGGCGAACCAGCCCCAGGCTGAAAGCCTCCCTAATAAAGATAAATCAATCAATCAACTTGCTAGGTTCTTTTCACGAGAACCGAAGAACGCCCACGCAAACCAAGAGCACTATCGGGAAAGGGGGAATTTCCCCTACCCGATGGTGTTGTTAGTTTGCGTGGACGTATTCGGTTCGCCCGAAAAGGGCTAAACAAGTTTTATGTACAAAAGTTGATAGGTCCGTTTCAAATGTTACGCGAGTATTATTCATATGTTCAGTTTTAGTAAACAGGGTTCCGTTGTTGCGTCACTTATTGTCGAGTGAGTGAACTCAAATCCATCCGTGCGCTCGTCTATCTCGTCTATGGAGAAAAAAAAATCTTCAACAGATTTTTTCTGAGCTTGCTGTTTTAACAACTTTGCTGAAAAGGGCAGTAAACCTACTACTATTATATTATAGAGAGCTGGGGGCAAGACAGCTATCAATTACGAGTAAAATCGGAGTTAATTTTGAGTAACTCTGAGTAACTCGCATTGATCAATATGTTATACACATAGCAACCTGAATTTTATATTGAAAATAATGTTGAAACTGATGCTGTCAAGCAAAGTAAGTTGACATGTTTTCCAGTTTTGATCGATGAGCCTCGAAGTAAGTAGGGGAAATGACGGCTTCGGCATGACAGACTATTTTCGGCAACCCAAATTGAAACACTATTTTTACCGGATTTTCTTACGAAAACACTTCGCTGAATGCATGCAAACGATTCTTTATGCTTTCAGCTTCAATTTGACTATATTTTTACCACTTAGAAAAAGCAATCTAGCAAGGTTTTCTTGAAATGCAACACACGCACTACAAATTGTAGCTGATTTCGAGTTGCAGATAATAGAACAGCAGATTTACATGCAGTCCAAATGGAACGGTTGCCGAAGAAAAACTGGTTGCCGACAATACTCGCTCTCACTAGAGAAGATTGGAGCTTTGTAAAAGCGTTTCAAAACAATTTTTGACAATTCTTTCGACTGAAATTGTTAGAGCAGCTGGCAGCAAAAGATTGTAAACAAACCAATATTGCATATGTGTGCGTTCCTTAGAGAAAAAGGCTATAGAAAGAAGATCGCGGCTTAGGTTGCCGAAAATACGTAAATTCCCCTATTAATTTAAAAAGGAAACTTATAATTTATTCGAATTATAGTCCAGAAGAGCAGAAGCTAAATATGTCGTTCCACTTACGTTGGAAATGTTCTCCCCACGTAAAAACATTCTGAAGCTGGAGGGGCTAGCAGCAACGGTGCGCTAGCAATGCTCACCCGGGAAGACATTTCGGCGATGGAATTGCAAATGCGCTTTCGTATAGCACGTGTACGAAATGAAATTCAAGCTGCCCCTTCAAAGTCGATGGAAGATTTTTATGGCGATTATGCCAAACAGCAAGATAAGCTCAACATCGACGATCGCCACCATCGATAACAAGTAGCAACTACATTCACGTAGTTGACGACGCAGCATATAACAAGAACGATGAAGAACCACCATCGTGGACTTTGGACCTGGACGACTCAGCAGAGCAGTAGTGGCTTTAATTGGAATTTCTGTGTAGGAACTTATAGTGCTGTTCGATAGGTTCGAATTAAGCTAAAATATTTCAATAAATTCATTCTGTGTGTAACGTTAGAGCAATGTAGTTCGCATTTATATTTTTTATACATCCAGAAACTCGGCAAAAACGTTATTTATTAAAATATATAAATATAATAGAACACATTCCTGTATGTTTTTCAACAACATCAGAATACAGTGCCTTCCCATTTTTGGCAACATATGATTTTTGTCTATTATGCAATCTATAAATACATAGAATGCTCGCTCTATTCGACTTATGATGTTACTCGACCATTTTTTAGGAATTAGACCCTGGATATTTCATGAAATATTATAAAGAAAACCTGGGCGAAAATTTAGGCAATAAACAGATGGTGACGGTACTGTATTTAGTTGTTGGCCATGGTATGATTTTTAATGTTAACAAACTCCACGAAACTGGCCAGAGCTGACCTAATCTCGCCTGAAATGAGCAGCTACATAAAATACCACAATCAACAGCATCTTATTTTTTTGAAATATGGAATCTTGTGGATCATTACAACAAAACCTAACGATTATAAGGAGCGGATTTAAAACAAACTGCTTTGGCAACCTATGTCTAGGTGATTTCTAGCAACACTGCTAATGCAATCAAGATAGGCACTGCTCGATTGGCTCTGGCTTTGACAGTTCGTTTGGCTCAAAACCAGCTCATCTCTTATACTAGACCCTCTCTATTATATCGAGTTAATCTTATCGACCATTTATAGTTGCCTGGGTGAGATTGCATTTAAAATGTATTTATTCTCAAAATTCAGTGCCAACATTTCAAAGGGGCCTAATTGCATTTGTAAACAATGGCTTTAGCCGACGTTGCCTCGCGAATAAAAGATCACTCGCGAAAATTAATAACACTAGCACGTATAGGAATGTTTCCTCTACCAGCTAGCATTGTTGATTTGGAGGGGTGACCTTTTATTTGCGAGAAATTCATTGTTTACCAAATCAATTACGCCTCTTTGAAATGTTGGCACTGAATTATTGGCGGTGACACTCTTGCCCTACACGGCACACTTGCCCTAGTCCTCCTACAGCAAAAGCATCCCGAGACAATACGGGGGCGAAAACAAACCACTTTTCTGTCAAACGCGAACCAGCTCGTGATTAGCCGATTTGAAGTACGTAAGATAGAAATAGAGATAGAGATAGAGATAAAAGAGTAAGAAGCCAGTTGTCTCCTCTTCCTCTTAGATCTTAATTGATAAGGAATGGAAAATGATTCTCCGTTAGGCGTGGAGCTAGGAAAGTGAGCGTTTTCCATTAAATTTCACGTGAGTTAAGGAATTTCGGCATAACTGATTTAGGCTCTTCTACACATTAGATCTAGATAGAGCTGGAATTAGGGCCTAACAGCTTTTGTAAACAATGAATTCTTTTGATGATTTCTAGAAAGTTGAGGCTTACCAACGTAAATCAACAACACCATCGGGTAGGGAAAGACTTTCCCTATCCGACGGTTATATTGGTTTACAGTGGTGTGCCTTGAGTTCCTAGAAATCATCGGTAGAAGTCATTGTTTACAAAGGCTGTTACGCCCTAATTCCAGCTCTATCTAGAGATCAATATATGTGACTTGCTTGTATCAATATAATGAACAAAATATATACAAAGTAATAGTATAAATTGTCACTAAACGGTTGTAAATTAATATTGATAACATATTATAAAAAAAAACAAATTTACCAAAAGACGTCTCTCCGTTTTTTCCTCCTAAACCTATGACTTAACATTCTGTCTTTACACAAGGAAAATAACGTTAAATAATTACAAAAAGAAAAAAGTTGCATCAGAAAAAAACGAGAGAGCCCTTCCGAATGTAATATTATTTCATAGTCATTATTGTGCTTGAGTTGTGGATACCATTTACGAGTGTTGTTTAAAATCACATTTCCGTTTGTCTTCTACCCTACGATCTATTACGATCTCAAAATTCCATCTCTTCCATGGTTCGGGAAAGCCTATTGCTATCGATCCGCCGCCGTTGACTTCGCCGAACGGCATCCGCCCTGCGGTACGGTTCGTTCTTCAACCCCAGCAGTATGTCCTCCAGGGCACCGTTGTAGACCTCGTCCTGTTGGAGCAGTTTCTTCTCCCGAACCGAGTTGGTTTTGGTTTTGAGTTCGTTGATGACTGCCTCCTGCGAATTGAAAGAATAAAACACAGCAATGTTGCCGGCATTGAGAAAATTGTGGATTTCGGTTTCATTACCATGTGCTTAAAAGATCACTAATGGATGCAGCAGAAGCGGGTTAATTCTTTTCTTCTGATAATCAGTTTGGGATAATACAAGCTTACGCATTTCTACACGTGCGCACATATGCTTTGAGTCATGAATTAAAGATACGTGCAATTAAAATAGAAGAAAACCGTGCGAATTCTAACGGTTGGGAATTATGTTAATTGCTGCCCAGCTGCGGAGCATCAACAAATACCTTACTTACTATACCTAGTATCTGCTGAGCGTCGCGTGTGGGTGGCTTTTGTTTTGCGTTAAGCGTTTAAGCGTTGCCCGAGGTATCTAATAGAATGTGGGAAAATGTCTGTTTGTCTGATTTTACCTACCAAGCGATTAAACCAAAAAAAGCAAAAACCATTTTAATGTGCAACTACACCACTGCCACGGATACCTACAATACAATGATGGAACAAATTGTGCAAGCAGGGATAGATAAAATAAGCGAAACCCATTTAAAACATGCTACTTTGCATACCTCCTCCGTAGCCCGTACCATAAAACGTGATTATGATGGCCTACCTACATGGGAAAAATACGTAAATTGCGCTAACCGAAAAAGATATTTTAATGAGCAAATTAGAATGGAAACGTGCGCGCGGTGTTTGTTTTCGTTTATTTCGTTTTGGTCGATGGATGGCATCAAACTGTTCTCGATCATCGCCGATCATAGATCACGCTTGCTTCAGTGCCAAGTTGCGTGTGGAATACTAATTAATTCCCAAAAATGGCTGAAACTTTCTTTTCGGGATGTCCGGGAGCCGTTTAGAAGTCGGTATTGAATGTCTTCTTCCTGGTTTATTCCCTGTTCTTAAATGTGGTAATTTTTAATTCAAACCTAACCTATCTTTAAGGAATGAATACAGTCAACTCTCTCTAACTCGACATTGAAGGGACCATCGAGTTATGTCTTGTTCAGACTACAGAGTTATAGCATGTTATAACTGCTCAATGTGGCCACCACGCTTTAATTTTTTTTCCGAGTTTCCAACAGCCGAGTAGTTCTGCAAATTTTTTAGCTGAGAATCAGTAAAACAACTATTGAGATTAGATTTTTGCAGAGATATCAGCAAAAGTAGAAGCCGAGGTAATCAGCTGTTGGATATTTTACCGAGCTACACTCAACAAGATTACTAAACTAAGATTGAATAACATTTAATCAACTAATGTCTATTGACAGGTACGTTTCCAAAAAGATCATACATATCGGCTCTCGCGTCCCGTGGATGACGAAAAATCTTCACTCGTTGAAAAGAACTAAGAAGAGGCTGCTCTCAGAAGATTTACTATATCCAGCACACTGCCGCTGAAATGCTACTATTCTTTGGTACAAGCAATGTAAATATTTACCTTATTTGACAAAACCCAGGTAATCATGACAGCAGTAGGTCTCTTTTCTTCATTCAAATTGTTTTCAATAATCAAACGTCATGATTACCTGGGTTTTGTCAAATAAAGTAAACATTTACATTGCTTGTACCAAAGAATGTCAGACTCAACCACGAGTATAAGCGGTTAAGTCGTCTCTGTTTTCAACGCTATCAAAGGAGGATTCAACGGCGGCTAAAATCACACCCGAAATCCTTCTGGAACTTCGTAAATGAGCAACGCAGGGAAGTCGGCTTACCCTCTTCCATAATTTTTAATGGTGAAACTGCTGGCAATCAACAAGACATTTGCAACCTGTTCTCAGTCAAATTTGCTAGTGTGTTTGAAGACGAGCAACTCTCCGCTAATCTCGTTACTTCCGCGGCCAGTAATGTTACTTTGGTCAACCAAACGCTCAGCGTTGTTGACACCACTACAGATACGATTTCCAGAGCAGCATCTAAACTTAAGACTTCAGCTAAGGCTGGACCCGGTGTTCCGTCGATTATTCTTAAAAAGAACATCACTTGTCTTTTAGATCCACTGTGCCTCATATTACAGCTCTCTCTTTCCAGCGGCATCTTTCCGTCTTACTGGAAGACTGCGGATATGTTTCCTGTTCATAAAAAGGGAAGCAAACGCGACGTACACAACTACCGGGATATCACGTCGCTGAGTGCTGTATCAAAACTTTTTGAATTGGTTGTCATAGAATCCCTAAATGCGCATTGCAAGCAATATCTAAGTATAGATCAACACGGATTCATAACTGGGCGTTCCACAATTACGAACCTGCTGTGTCTAACGTCTTACATTACAGACAGTTTGATTGCTCGGACACAAACGGACGTTATTTACACAGATCTTACGGCAGCCTTCGATAAGCTTAACCACGAAATTGCGATCGATAAGCTGGATAGGCTAGGGATCGGTGGAAATCTTTTGAGATGGTTTCGTCCATACCTCACGGAGCGCCAACTTTGGGTACTTGTCGCTCAGCAAGCTTCTGCGCAAAGTCCGTTCTAAAGGGTGATACGGTCAAAATTTGGTCAATATCAACTTGACGTATTTCTTTCAATTTTGCATTTAAAAAACCTGAACACCCCTCATTTTGAAGGTGTGTGTGTGTAAAATGTTGCTCCTATTTTGATTTTGGAATTCACTCTTCAGTTGTCAAAATGCCGTCCAAGCAAGAAGAGCAGCGTATCAAAATTTTGCTCGCGCATCGCGAAAATCCGAGCTACTCGCACGCAAAGTTGGCAAAATCGCTAAAAGTTGCCAAATCAACCGTTACAAATGTAATTAAAGTGTTTGGGGAACGTTTGTCGACAGCCAGGAAGTCTGGATCGGGGGGAAATCGAAAACCGGAAGCCGCTGAGACGACAAAGAGAGTTGCCGGTAGTTTCAAGCGAAACCCTAACCTCTCTCTCCGAGATGCCGCAAATAAGCTGGGTGTATCGTCTACAACCGTGCATCGAGCCAAAAAACGAGCCGGACTATCGACTTACAAGAAGGTAGTGACTCCAAATCGCGATGATAAACAAAATACGACGGCCAAAGCGCGATCCCGGAGGCTGTACACGACGATGCTGATGAAGTTTGACTGCGTGGTAATGGACGACGAAACCTACGTCAAAGCCGACTACAAGCAGCTTCCGGGACAGGAGTTTTATACGGCAAAAGGAAGGGGAAAGCTAGCAGATGTTTTCAAGCACATGAAACTGTCAAAGTTCGCAAAGAAATATCTGGTTTGGCAAGCCATCTGTACCTGTGGCTTGAAAAGCAGCATTTTCATAGCTTCCGGGACTGTCAACCAAGAAATTTACGTGAAAGAGTGTTTGAATAAACGTCTGCTGCCTTTCCTGAAGAAACACGGTTGTTCCGTACTGTTTTGGCCGGATTTGGCATCTTGCCATTACGGTAAAAAGGCCATGGAGTGGTACGCCGCCAACAACGTGCAGGTGGTTCCCAAGGACAAGAACCCTCCCAACACGCCAGAGCTCCGCCCAATTGAGAAATACTGGGCTATTGTCAAGCGGAACCTAAAGAAGACCAAAAAAACTGCTAAGGGCGAGCAGCAGTTCAAGGCAAACTGGCTTTCTGCGGCGAAGAAGGTGGACAAGGTGGCTGTACAAAATCTGATGGCAGGGGTCAAGCGTAAGGCCCGGCAATTCGGATTTGGAAAAGCGGAAGCCTAACTGAATATTTTTCCTGAATTTTATACTAATTGAACTTGAAAAAGAAATTTAATTTGATTTTTTAAATAAACGATTTCACCGACTTACACGGTTTTTCCCTTGACCAAATTTTGACCGTATCACCCTTTACCTAAGGGTAGCCATCTGGGACCATTGGTATTTCTACTTTACTTCGACGACGTTCACCATGTTTTCACAGGGTCACGATTATCGTTTGCAGAGTTTTTCTGCGCATCCGCTCACTCGTCGGCTGCCGTTCTCTCCAAAATCAGATTGACATCTTTGCTGACTGGTGTAGTCTAAACCGACTGGTGGTCAACCCAGCTAAGTGTACAATCATTACTTGCTCACGCAAGAAACAGCTGATTATTTTCAACTACAAACTACTAGGCATGACTATCGAACGGGTGCATTGCGTGAAAGACTTAGGACTCAAAGCTGACATACTCACACCATAGATCGTATGTCGTCGACAAAGCATCCAGAACTCTACTCAGATTACTAAGAATTTCACAGACATTTACTGCTTGAAATCGATCTATTGCTCTCTCGTACGAGCTACGTTGGAATACTGCTCTGCAGTCTGGAGCCCGAACTACAATAATGGGGCCGAGCGAATTGAATCTCTGCAACGTAAGTAAGCTGCAGATACCCACTTCGTCTTCCAAGCTACGTGAATCGCTGCCAATTGATCAATGTCGAGCCCTTACGTATCCGAAGAGATGTTTTCAGAGTCTTAACCGTCGCCGACACTCTCCAAGGAAGAATCGCCTGCGAAGCAATTCTGCAACAAGTGAACATTAATGTTCAACCTCGATCACTACGCAACAGTCTTATGGTAAGACTTCCACTTCTTCGAACTAATTATAGCTTAGGGAGCGCTTTTTACGGCTTGCAGCGAGTGTTCAACCGAGTAGAGTCGATGGTCGATTTCCACTTGACACGGAATATGCTCCGCCGAAGATTCTCTGCCTTTTTTGCTGACCGAAGGCGCTTGAAGCCCAACGGCTAAGTGTAAAATTTTAGACTTATACATTTTTAGTAACTTGACCTCGCCTTCTCCCAGTTCCTTCAAACAAAATATTCTTAAATCGCGGTTATTATTTGCGGGATGTTTTGCGGAGCAGAACCATAGAGGTAACTCTAAGACCACTGGGTCCCGAAGAAAATCATTATTATTTTTGGCTCACTCAGTACCAGAACAACGGTCCCAAGCAGTCCCAAGCTATTTCACTCACCCCAGCATGTTCTGCATGAATCCACACACCCCTGATGTTATCTGTCAAACTTTGATAGCGAATCAAAACAAACATAGTGTAGTAATAGAATTTCAACTAG